GGCATTAAGCAACAAAAGTCACATATTATTATATGTACAACACTAAAGTCATATATAACACTAATTATTCACCAAAAGAATAATATACAATTTTTATAATATTTTTCACATAAATAAACTAATATATATATATATATATATATATATATATAACACAGTAAAAATAAGTAATTAGTCAATTATATAAATGAGTTATACTACAAAAGTGATTCAGAATACCTCTTTTTAGAGTTTTTTGAATTGAGAAAAATTAAAGATTTGACCACCGAAACGAGCAATAAAAGAGATCCACTACACGACAACGCCTTGAATCAGGTGTTAGCTCGCTAAAATAATGAGGGGACATAATTTTTGGGGGACGGGTGGGCTCCAATGGAGCTTTAAGCTTTAAAAATGGGGGGGAACCGTTTTTTGTCTTCTGTCCCGAAGAAGAAAACTGGCCGTTTTTAATATAACTTGTGTAGAGGAGACCAGGTGGGTAGGAGATAAGGCAGGATGTGGGCAGTTTCAAACTCTAATATTCTAGAAGGGTGGAGAGCAGGAACGAGGTATGTATCTTTGTCGATAAGGACCTCCGTGAACTAGTGGTGGAGGTTAGGAGGATGAATGATAGGCTGATGACTATTAAGCTAGTTGTTGGAGATTTTACTTTGAACATAATCAGTGTGTACTCACCCTAAACAGCCTTGGATGAGGAAGTCAAGAGGAGTTTCTAGGAGGAATTGAATGATATGGTGCGTGGTATCCCGCATATCGAGAAGCTTTTCATAGGAGGAGATTTCAACGGTCACATTGGAGCAACGTATGAGAGGTATAATGATGTGCATGGTGACTTTGGTTTTGGAGATAGAAACGAAGGAGGAACGCCTCTGCTGGACTTTGCTAGAGCATTTGATTTGGTGATAGCAAACTCGAGTTTCCCAAAGAAAAGGGAGCACTTGGTCACCTTTCGAAGATCGGTGGCCAAGACTCAGATTGATTATTTACTCTACAAGACGTCCGATAGAGGTCTTTGCACGGATTGCAAGGTCATATCGAGTGATAATCTCTCGACCCTTCATAGGCTCCTGGTCATGGACCTTGAGATCAGAGGAAGAGGAGGAAGAGGGCAATGTATAACCAACATAGGATAAAGTGGGTAGCCTTGACGGAAGCTAAAGCACAAGAGTTGGGGGTCAAGCTGGTGACTATGGGGGCTTGGAGGTGTAGTGGGGAAGCAAGTGCTACATTGACCATGACTGCACAGTGCATTAGGGAAACTGCGAGACAGGTATTAGGGGTCTCAAAGGGTTACTCTGGTGGTCACAAGGGAGACTGGTGGTAGAATAGAGAGATGCAAGGAAAAGTCGAAACCAAGAAAGCAGTGTATCTGAAGCTAGTAGAAAGTGTAGACGAGGAGGAGAAGATGGCGAATAAGGAGCATTATAAGTTGGATAAGAAAGAGGCAATGCTAGTAGTTACAGCGGCCAAGACTGCAGCTTTTAGTCGTTTGGATGAGGACCTCGAGGGCCGAGGTGGGGATAAGAGGTTGTTCAGGTTAGCCAAGGCGTAAAGGAAGGCGTGTGACTTGGACCAAATAAAGTGCATCAAGGACGAAGAAGGTAGAGTTTTGTTGGATGAGGGGCTTATCCATTGGAGATGGCAAACCTATTTCCACAGTCTCTTGAACGGGGAAGGGGACATGAGCATTGTACTGGGTGACTTGAAACTCTCCGGGAGTCGTTGTGACTTTGGGTATTGTAGGCGGAATAGAGTTGATAAAGTTGAGGGGGCTATACATAAGATGAGCATGGGTAAAGCGACCGGGCCAGATGAAATTCCAATGGAGTTTTGTAAGAGTGCGGGCAAGGCAAGCTTGGAGTGGCTCACTAGGTTATTTAATGTTATTTTTAGAACGAAGAATATGCCCGAAGAGTGGAGGTGGAACACGATGGTTCCTGTATACAAGAACAAGGGTGATATCCAAAATTGCAATAACTATTGGGGTATCAAGCTGCTTAGCCATACTATGAACGTTTGGGAGAGAGTGGTAGAGCTAAGGGTGAGGAGGAGTGTGTCTATTTTCAAAAAACAGTTTGGATTTACGCCGGAGTGTTCGACTACAGAAGCGATCCACCTTGTTAGGAGATTGATGGAGCAGTATAGGAAGAGAAAGAAGGACTTGCATATGGTATTCATCGACTTAGAAAAAGCGTATGATAAAGTCCCGAGGGAGGTTTTGTGGAGATGTTTGGAGGCTAGAGGTGTACCTGTTGCCTACATTAGGTTGATTAAGGAAATGTATGATGGAGTAAAGACCCGAGTAAGGACGGTGGGTAGGGACTCAGACCATTTTTGGTTATGATGGGGTTGTGTCAGGGGTCGGCACTCAGCCCTTTTTTGTTTGCTGTTATGATAGACGTACTAACGTGCCACATCCAAGGGGAGTTGATGTGGTGCATGTTATTTGCAGATGATATTGTATTGATTGACGAGACGCGAGACGGGGTGAACAAGCGATTAGAAGTATGGAGGCAGACCCTGGAATGTAAAGGTTTCAAATTGAGCAGGACCAAGACAGAATACTTGGAGCGTAAGTTTAGTGGCGAGACTCAAGGAATGGAAGCAGAGATGAGGCTGGTCTCGCAGGTTATCCCTAGAAGGGGGAGTTTTAAGTACCTTGGGTCTATTGTTTAGGAGGGTGGGGAGATTGATGAAGATATCACACATTGTATTGGGGTGGGATGGATGAAATAGAGAGTCGCTTCCGGTGTTTTATGTGACAAGAAGGTGCCACCGAAACTTAAGGGTAAGTTCTACAGAGTGGTGGTCAGACCAACGATGTTGTATGGAGCTGAGTGTTGGCCAGTCATGATCGCTCATGTCTAGAAGATGAAGGTAGTAGAGATGCAGATGTTAAGATAGATGTGCGGTCACACCAGGTTAGATAGGGTCAGAAATGAGGTTATTCGCGACAAGGTGGGTGTGGCCCCTATTGAGGACAAGATACGGGAAGCGCGGCTTAGGTGGTTTAGTCATGTGAGGAGGAGGAGCACAGACGCCCTGGTGAGGAGGTGTGAGAGGTTGACAGTGGAGGGCCTACAGAGAGGTAGAGGTAGGTCAAAGAAGAGGTGGGGAGAGGTGATTAGGCAAGACATGGCGCAGCTTCAGCTTAGCGAGGACATGACCCTTGATAGGAAGATATGGAGATCGAGGATTAGGGTAGTAGAGTAGGTAGTCTAGAGTGTTCATTACAATAGTATTGGCACGTAGACTTGCTTTCTGTTGGTAGTAGGTTTTTATAACTAACCATTATTTTCTTTCATTGTTGATCATATTACTGTCTTGTTATTTTTATTCTGCTTTTATATGGCTCTTTGGTACTGTTCCTTCTTGTCTATATTTTCCTTAATGTGGTGCTTATACTTTCCTAAGCCGAGGGTCTATTGGAAACAGCCTCTCTATCCTCACAAGGTGGGGTAAGTTCTACATACATACTACTCTTCCAAGACCACACAGTGTGAGATAATACTGAAAATATTCTTATTGTTGTTGTTGTTGTCTCGAAGAAGCATAAGACTGTCCGTTTTTAATAAAGGTATGCGCTATACCTATCTGTCTTTTCAATTTTCGGTATAACGCAGTATAACGCATCTAATATATGTGCTACAACTGTACTTTGACCGACATAAAATCGGGTATAGCGCACGTATTCCATTCGCTATATCTTAACGGACAAATGTGTCGTTAAGGTATAGCGCATGAAATTCATGTGCGTTACATAAAATGGTCACCGGTTATTTTTTCGCCTATTTTTGTTCTTTAAGTTCGAAAAAATAATATTTTGAATTTGAACTCATATTTTGTCCACCGAACTGTCCTTTTTTTACGGGACCAACCACAATGGCGTAGGAAGTTGGAAATGTTCTCAACTTGACCAGGAAAGCAAGTTTCAGTCTTCACGTCATTTACATATATAGGTTGCAAAGTCTCTGAGTTTGAAACATATTATAGTCTTTACTCCAAATATGATGACCCATAAAATTTTCTGTAACATATAAGACTTTCATTGCATCGATATATATATATATATATATATATATTACATTGCATCGTACTATTTTATTATTTTATTTATTATTATTGTGATTGTTGTTATATCAAGAGCTTAAAGTTCTTTACACTTGAAAAAGGTACCCGGGGACTTTATAATGTACAAAACCACCTTTTATTTGATATATATACATGCAAAATTCAAAATTCCTACCATAATTGTGATAAGAGGCGGAGTCAAGATTTCATATCTATGGGTTCGAAATTCTAAGCGTTTTAAGCTACTGGGTTCTAAATAATAATTTAGATATATTCAATAAAAATTTTAAGACAAATACAGAATTCGAACCAAAGTTACTGGGTTCGGCTGAACCCAGTATGAGCACTCTAGCTCCGCCCGTGATTGTGACTATCATGATATTTTTATTTAATACTTTTTTGTTAACAAGAGAATCCGTAATCGCTGTTCTTAGCGTGTGCACATGGTAAATCCTGCTTTTGTATAATAGCCCACAAACCACACAAGAAAGTAAACCGTTTTAGGCAAGCTCCATGCAACGGGCTCGACCAGAGAGGTATGCAAGTGGATTTTGAACCCTACACCCCCCATTGGGAGTCACCTGCTCAACCAACTTGGCCACCCTGAAAGGTCTTTTATTTAATATTATATTATATGAATTCTCATTAGCCATATTTATCCATTTAAATTCATTTTAATATTATACTAAAAAAGANGAAACTTCTCTTCTAACTGTTGCTGAGAAAAATTTAGTAAGTTTAATAGGAGTATAAAATATATATTCAACAAGTCAATGGTTGAAATTGAAAATGTGTGCTTATACAGTTACGTTGTTTCTTTCCTTTCATTTTCCCTGAAAACACGCTTTTCATTAGTCAATACGTACACATATTAACACTACCAAACAAATAGAAAAACTTGTACTTATATTAATAAACCTAATCTAGAACATAAAAAACCAACACCTTCTTCAAAAAAATCGCGAATGAATCTGTAGTCTGCTCAAAACTCCATAGCCTCAATATGGGCTTTGATGAAGATGATAATCCATTTACTCATCACCACAAAAACAAATATGATATCAACAGCAAAATTATGCTAAGTGCCATAATTTCACTATCCATAGTTGTTTTCCTCGTTACTATTCTCCATATGTACATTAGATGTGTCATTAGACGACGTCAAGCTAGACGCCGAGCTACGTTTAGCCCTGCGTGGAGCTTGGTTGCAAGTACTGTGTCACAAGTTGAGCCACCAAAAAATGGACTTGATCCATCTATTATAGCTTCACTTCCAATATTTGTTTACAAGCAAAGTGATGACCATGACATGGATGAGGCAATTACTAATCCAATTGAGTGTGCAGTTTGTTTGAGTATTCTTGAAAATGGTGAAATTGTTAGAAATTTGCCTAATTGCAAACACATTTTTCATGTGGAGTGTATTGACAAATGGTTTAATTGTCATTCTACGTGTCCTATATGTCGAGCTGAGGCAAAACCTCAGATATTGCCTGAGCCTAGGGAGGGTGTTGTTAGTCGTATTCCGCCGTCAGCGCCGCCTTTGGACGGTGGAAATTTGTCTATAGTTGTGAATGTTGGAGAGACTTCATCATCAGGTAAAACTACTATTGGTGGTTGTGGATCAAGCTCGAGATTGAGCTCGTTTAGAAGGATTCTTAGCAGGGAGAGATCATCTCGACGACTTCAAGTTGAAGATCCTGAGAGCAATAATGGCGGATGCAGGATTTAAACGGTGTTGGTCCTGAGTTGAGAAAAAACTTAGATATTATAATGTTTGAGTTGAGAAAATGAGTTTAATGTACATAGTTCGACCTTGAAGCATTGGATACTGCCGAACCAACGATTATTATTGCGGGAGACAATAATATTATGCATTAGGTATGATTACAATTATTGTTTTTTTGGTTTATATTCAAAGCTATTTTTATGTTTATATACATGAGACCAGTGGCGGAGTCACTCATTGGCAACGGGAGTCAATTGACACTCTTTCGTTGGAAAATTATACTACATAGGTTAAATATTTTGTTTTTATGCATATATACTAAGTGATTACCCTTAATTTTTTTGCATGCTTACTTATTTATATTTTGATTCTCTGTAATGAAAATCCTGACTTCTTAATGGATGTGGAGAACCCTAGAACTAGGTAAAGCTAAAGCCAATTAAATAGCGCATGCTTTAGTTTGTCACACAATTGAAGTACAACAAATTAAATTTTACACGAGAGGCACAAGTGCAAATTAGTTCGAAAGAGGGCCGCGCTTTGATTTCCAAAGTCGGATTAAGATAAGCTAGTTTAATAAAGTGGATGCAAAATTATAACTTTTTAGCTTCTAATGTCTTGGTCACCCACATGTAGTCGTGCTAATGAGTATATAATTTTAAAAAATCACTATATATGTCACGATCCAAAATTCATTAAGGGTCGTGATGGTGCCAAACACCACTGTCACGCAAGCCAACACCAAGAAGTTAATTAAATTCTCATTTTAGTATTTTTTAAATCATTTCTTTTCCTTACTTTAAACAGTAAATAATGAACTCCCCAGAGTAAATAATGATGTCTTCAACAAATTTACATATTGAATACTCTCATAGTCCTCCCAGAACCTGGTGTCACAAGTGCATGAGCAATTTCTAGGAAATAAAATATAATACCACAACTGTCCGGAATACAAATTGGACAGGAAAGAAAATACAATACTCTGAAGGAGACTCTTGCTGGCTGCGGGTTGTCTCGAGAGATGCAGCTCACCTAAGTCTCTGTATCAACCATGATGTTGCGCCCAACGAGGTCACTAGACATACATATGCATGTGTAACAAAAACGCACAGCAAATGTAGTATGAGTACGAAATCAGCGCGTACCCAGTAAGTATATCCAGTCTAACCTTGAAGAAGTAGTGATGAGAGGTCGACTTCGACACTTACTAGTGGTCCAATAATATCAGATACAGTAAAGAAGTGAATAAATACGAAACAGAGTAAATATATGAAATAAACATATATAAAATACGTGGTACAATTCTCTTCTTTACAATTTTAATCAAGCTCTCAATTAGGAAGTTCCCTCCGTAACCGGGGCATATATATATCGTGGATGTTATCAAGAGATTGTCATAATTCAAATTAGGGATAAATCCTCATATACACTAGCATATAGCCAAATATTACGCACGAATTCCAAAAGAATGCTAAATTAGCAATTAGCAAATGTTAGCTCTCAATTAGCAAGTTCCCTCCGTAATCGGGGATTATATATATAAAGATATCGTGGATGTCATCAAGAGGTTGTCATAATTCAAATCAGGGATAAATCCTCAGATACACTAGCCTATAGCCAAATGTTACGCACTAATTCCATAAGAATGATATATATATATATATATATCAACATAAAAGTAAATTGTGCACTACCGAGGGTCGAACTGCGCAAAAGATAGATGCATCTATTCCCTCGCTCGTGAATCATACCTGCGACGCGGTCCTCGCTCGCGAATCATACATGCGATGCGGTCAAATATAAATTTAAGAAATTACCCCACTCGCGAATCATACCTGCGATGCGGTCAAATATAACTTTAACATTTAAATCATATCTCTTTCTTGATTCTTTTCAAAATATTAGAAATTCAACTTGAAACTTTTAAGGAAATTACCCCGCTCACGAAACATACACGTGACGCGGTTGCTCATAGATTTCTTAAGTTATTAAAATATTTCTCAATTCCTTTGAAAAGACGAAGTTTAATGGGAACTCTTAAATCTTAAATTTCTCAATTCAAATTCCTTTCAGCACAATTAGTATGCAACCCTAATCTTGTTTCTTCTTTGGACAAACAATAACATAAATTAACAACAAGATCAACAAGGCATGATGTAAGCCTAAAACTATCCGGACATAGGCGTAGCTAGTAGCTACGCACGGACTCTCGTCACCTTGTGCGTATATCAAACAGAATCACATAATAATTTAATTCACCAATGGGGTTAATTCTCTCTTACGAGGTTAGAAAGGAGACTTACATTTCTCTGAAGTTCCATAACCGGCTTCAAAGCCCTTCCGACGACTCAAACCGATGCCCAATGCTCCAAAACTATCAAATAATTATGCAAACCGATTAACATATGCTCAATTACTCATTATAATTCAATTTATAACAATTCCTAACTCCGATCGAAAAGTTGACAAAATTGCTCTCCGGCTCGCGTGCCCGGATTTCAAAATTTTTCAAAGATAAACCTTACCCATAACCTCACGAACTCCAATATATAATTTACTCTCAATTTCATGCCCAAATTCGTGGTAAGAATCCAAAAATATAAATTTTAGGTCTTCTACCCAAAACCCACAATTTCTACTAATTTCCATGTTAAAATCTATACATAATCATTGTATTTAACTCATAATAAGTGGGGATAACTTTCCTTGACATTGATGATGAAAACCCTCTCTTGAAACCCTCCAAGAATCGCCCAAGCCAAGAGAAAATGAAAGAAAATGGGCCAAATCTCGTCTTAAAACAACTCATTGCCCAACACTGCCCTTCTTCGCGAACGCGGAAATGCCCACGTGTTCGCGAAGCACAACCCGCTTCGGTCCCAAAATCTCTTCTTCTCATTCGCGTCCCGGTGATCGCATTCGTGAAGGCCAGCTACCCAGACTCTACGCGTTCGCGTTCCAGGCCTCGCATTCGCGTAGGCCAACGACCTCAGACCCAGCTCCCCTCTTTCCTTCTACGCGTTCGTGATCGCCCATTCTCGTTCGTGTAGTCATCTCAACCCACCCCTTCGCGTTCGCGACCTCCACTTCACATTTGTGAAGGCCAAATCCAGTAGCCTCGCACCTTTCTCTTTGCGAACGCGGAAATCCCTTCGCGTCCGAGAAGTAGGAAACCAGAGACAGAAATCTACAGCAAGAACACAGCCTGAAATGATTTGAAACCACCACGAAACACACCTGAGGCCTCCGGGATCCCGTCCAAATCATACAGACCAGTCCCATAACATCATACGGACCTGCTCGAGGACTCAAATCACATCAAACAATGCTAAAACCATGAATCGCGCTCCGATTCAAGCTTAATGAACTTTAAAATTTCAAACTTCTACTTTCGATGACGAAACCTATCAAATCACGTCCGATTGACCTCAAATTTTGTAGCAATTGAAAGACTACGATATCACCATATTTTATCATCCTGGGAAGGGAAATGTAGTGGTCGATGCTTTGAATAAGAAGTTAGCCAGTATGGGCAACCTTGCATATATTCCAGTCGGTGAGAGACTGCTTGCTTTGGATGTTTAGGCTTTAGCCAATCAGTTCGTGAGGTTGGATGTTTCTAAGCCTAGTTGTGTTTTAGCTTGCATAGTCACTCATTCTTCATTATTGAGCGTATCAGAGATCGGCAGTATGATGATCCTCATTTGCTTGTCCTTAGAGACACAGTGCGGCAAAGAGGTGCCAAGCAGGTTACAGTGGGAGATGATGGAGTTTTGAGGATGCAAGGTCGTATTTGTGTGCTTAATTTGGATGGACTTCGTGAGTTGATTCTAGAGGAGGCCCATAGTTCCCGGTACTCTATTCATCTGGGCACCGCTAAGATGTATCAGGACTTGCCACAGCATTATTGGTAGAGGAGGATGAAGAAGGATATTGTTGCATATGTAGCTCGGTGTTTGAATTGTCAGTAGGTAAAGTATGAGCATTAGAGACCTGGTGGTTTGCTTTAGAAGATTGTGATTCCTGAGTGGAAGTGAGAGTGTATCACTATGGATTTCATTGTTGGACTCCCACGGACTCAGAGGATGTTCGATGCAGTAACCTGTGGATAGGATGACCAAGTCAGTGTATTTCATTCCTGTGGTAGTTTCCTATTCTTTAGAGCAATTATCTGAGATCTACATCCGAGAGATTGTTCGTCTTCATGGTGTGCCCACATCTATCATATCTGATCAAGGTACGCAGTAAACCTTGTATTTCTGGAGGGCAGTTCAGCGTGAGTTAGGTACACAGATTGAGTTGAGCACAATATTTCATCCTCAGACAGATGGACAGTCCGAGCATACTATTCAGATTTTGGAGGATATGCTCCACGCATGTGTTCTTGACTTTGGAGGTTCTTAGGATTAGTTCTTGCCATTAGCAAGTTTGCCTACAACTACAGTTATCATTCGAGCATCCAGATGGCTCCCTATGAGGTATTATATGGTAGACGGTGTCGGTTGCCAGTTGGATGGTTTGAGCCGGAGAGGCTCAGATGTTGGGTACAGATTTAGTGCAGGACACCTTGGATAAGGTTAAGATTATTCAGGATAGACTTCGTATAGCTTAGTCCAGGCAAAAGAGTCATGCCGACCGTAAGGTTTGTGATGTGGCATTCATGGTCGGAAAACGAGTGTTGCTTCGGGTGTCGCCCATGAAGGGCGTGATGAGATTCGGGAAGAAGGGCAAGTTAAGACCTAGGTTAATTGGGCCTTTTGAGATTCTTCGGAGAATGGGGGATGTGGCTTACGAGCTTGTGTTGCCACCAGGTTTATTAGCAGTGCATCCAGTGTTTCATGTGTCCATGCTTCGAAAGTATCATAGCGATCCATCCCACGTGTTAGACTTCAGCACTGTCCAGTTGGACAAGGATTTGACCTACGAGGAGGAGCCGGTAGCTATTCTAGACCGGCAGGTTTGACAGTTGAGATCGAAGAGTTATCCTTTGGTTTGTGTTCAGTTGAGACAGCTACCTGGAAGTCAGAGTCCGATATGCGGAGATGATATCCCCACCTTTTTACTGACTCGGGTACTTTTCTATGTCCGTTCGAGGATGAACGGTTGTTTTAGAGGTAAAGAATATGATGACCCAAAAGGTCATCTCGTGTTTTAGAACCAAATTTGGGGTTTCGAGGCCTTCAAGGCCTCATTTTTCTTTCTTCTAGATCTTCGTGCGTAGTCCAGCGTGTTTCTCAAAAGCCTTTATGTTAAATTTAAGAAAAATATAGAATTTTGCCTTTAAAATTGATTAAAGTTGACTTCGGTCAAAGTTTTTGGTAAACAGACTCGGACCCGTGATTTGATGGTCTCGTAGGGTCTGTAGTAAAATATGGGACTTGGGCGTATGCCTGGAATCGAATTCCGAGGTCCCTATCCCGAGAAATGAATTTTTGAAAAAAATTATTTGCTGGAAAATATAAGAATTTTTAGAAATGGATTAGTGTGTAATCTCGTTGGTATCGGGCCCGTATTTTGGTTCCGGAGCTCGATACATGTTTGATATAGTATTTAAATCGTATCTGTGAAATTTTGTGAAAAACGGAAAAGATTTAACATAATTCGAACCCTTGGTTGAGAAAATAGAAATTTTGAACTATCTTGATAATTTCATGAGTTTTGCTGCTAAATTCGTTGTTAAAGATGTTAATTTGGCAATTTGATCGCATGAGCAAGTCCTCATGATGTTTTTAGACTTGTGTGCATGTTTGGTTCGGAGACCCGAGGGCTCGGGTGAGTTTTGGATAGGCCAAGGAGTGTTTTAGACTTAGGAAAATATTGTCGGTATGCTTCAGCTATTGCAGGCCTCTGATCTCGCAACTGCGAGATCAGGCTTCGTAATTGCGAGCTTCATAGGCTTGGCAATTGCGAGCCTTTCATCGCAAATGTGATCAAAAGCTGGGCCAGCATACTTCGCACATGCGAAGAGAGTCTAGGAAGGGAACTGATCGCAATTGCGAGGTCTGTGATCGCAAATGCGACACTTTCCTCGCATTTGCAAAGGCAGCACAGATTGTGAAGGCTTCGTAATTGCAATAGCCCTTTCGCAATTGCGAGCTTCATATTTGTGAAGCTCCAGTCGCAATCGTGACATCTGCAGCTTTTAAGTTGGGACTTAGGCGGGATTTTGAACTCATTTCTCAAATTTTCAAACCCTAAGCTTCCATAGGCCATTTTCCAAAGAAGAGCTCTTCCCCAAATCATAGGTAAACAATTTTTAACTCATTTCTTTCAATCTATTCCATCTTTTTACAATATTTCATCATAAAATCTAGGGATTTTCATGGGAAATTGGGTGTTTTTGGGTGAAATTTTGGAATTTCGAAATTTGGGGATCTGGACCTCAAGTTGAGGTCGGATTCCAAAACCAATTGCATATTTGGGCTCGTGGGTGAATGAGTAATCGGGTTTTGGTCCGAACTTCAAGTTTTGACCAAGCGGGCCCGGATTCGGTTTTTGACGTTTTGGGGAAAATGTTGGGAAATCTATAATTAAGCATGGGAATTGAGTTTTTTTAGCATTTATTGATGTTATTAAGTTAATTATGACTAGATACAAGCGAATTGAAAGTGGAACCGAGAGGTGAAGTGGTAATTGAGGCTTAATTTTGGTCGTGGAATCGAGGTAAGTGTTTGGTCTAACTTTAGCTTGAGGGAATAGGTGTTGTTGTCTTATTTGCTATGTCTTAGTATTGAGTACGACGTATAGGTGTGGTGACGAGTATCTATACGTTGGTGTCAAGCATGCAAGTGAGTCTTTTACTGTGATTGTTGTGTCTCTTATTACGTACTGTTCATGCTTAAATTGATGATTATCCGTGTTGAACAAGTCTTATGATATTTTCTTGGTATTGGATCATTGTTGAGTACTGACTCAAGTTGAGACTTATATTGTGAATTTAACTGTTGAAACGAGATTGGTTATAGCAGATTCCCTTATCAGGATGTTATTATTTCTATTGTTTGGGTGAGGAAGAGTGTAAAGCACGAAGGGTGATGCCATGCACGATATTGTGANAGTGAGTATTAATGCACGAAGGGTGATGCCATGCACGATATTGTGAGTGAGTATTAATGCACGAAGGGTGATGCCGTGCCATGTTCTGTGAGTGTTAATGCACGAAGGGTGATGTCGTTCCATATTCTGTGAGTGTTAATGCACGATGGGTGATGTTGTGCCATGATTGTGAGAGAGTAAAAGCATAAAGGGTGATGCCGTGCCATTTTCTATTGATTTTTATGGTGAGGACGAGAGTAAAAGCACGAAGGGTGATGTCGTGCACGTATTACTGTGTTCTCATTTCTGTTGGTTCAAAGTTTGATATTTACCTTGCTTTTTTACTTTATTACTGTTATAATCTGATATTCCCCTCAGCATGTGTCCCTTTCACGTCTTTATCTATTAAATCTCTGTTATTATTGTTCTTCATATATGATTTAACTGTACAAGTTTATATTGTTGTCGTGTCCTAGCCTCATCACTACTTCGCCGAGGTTAGGCTCGACCCTTACCAGTACATGGGGTCGGTTATACTGATACTGCACTTTGCAATTTTTGTGCAAATTTTGATGACGGACCTCGTGAGTAGATCTTGGGTTGCTGCCTTCAGTCCACAGGAAACCCGAGGTAGATCTGCCGGCATTCGCAGGCCCCGGAGTCCCCTTCCTTCTGTTTTAGATTTCCTGTCTCTCTTCATTTTGAGAACAGTTGTATTTCTTCTAAACTAGTGTTTGTAGAAATTCTTAGATGTTCGTGAAATTGTAACACCAGATCATTGGGGTAGTCATGTAATAGAGTTGTTGAAGTTATAAAATTTCCGCGCTTTATCTCTATTAGGCTTTAGCTATTATTTATTCATGTTCTGGTTAATAATTAATATGGTAAAATTGTATCTGTCGGCTTGTCTAACTTTCAAGAGTAGCCGCCATCATGATCCCGACGGTGGGTAATCCGGGTCGTGAAAAATCATTTCTTTTTCTTACTTTAAACAGTAAATAATGAACTTCACTGAGTAAATAATGATGTCTTCAGCAAATTTACATACTGAATACTCACATAGTCCTCCCAGAACCCAGTGTCACAAGTGCATGAGTAATCTTTAGGAAATAAAATGTAATACCACAACTGTCCGGAATACAAATTAGACAGGAAGGAAAATACAATACTCTGAAGGAGACTCTGATGGTTGAGGGTCATCTGGAGAGATGGAGGTCACCTAAGTCTCCGTATCAACCATGCTGTTGCGCCCAACGAGGCCACTAGACATACATGTGTCTGTACAACAAAAATGCACAGCAAGTATAGTATGAGTACGAAAATAACGCGTACCCAGCAAGTATCCAATCTAACATCGAAGAAGTAGTGATAAGAGGTCGACTTCTGCACTTAAGTGGTCCAATAATATCAGATATAGTAAAGAAGTGAATAAAAACAAAAGAGAGTAAATATGAAATAAATATGTATAAAATACGTGACACAATTCCCTTCTTTACAATTTTAATCAAGCTCTCAATTAGCAAGTTCCCTCCGTAACCGGGGCATATAAAGATATTGTGGATGTCATCAAGAGGTTGTCATAATTCAAATCATGGATAAATCCTCAGATACAGTGGCTTATAGCCAGATGTTATGCACGAATTCCATAAGAATGATATATATATATATATAGGCAATGCGGAGGCGTATGGTCTGATACAACGTAAAAGTAAATTGTGCACTGTCGAGGGTCGAATGACGTGAATGATAGATGCATCTATTCCCCCCGCTCGCGAATCATACCTGCGATGCGATCCCCGCTCGCGAATCATACATACGACGCGGTCAAATCTAAATTTAAAAAATTGCCCTGCTCGCGAAACATACATGCGAGCGGTTGCTCATAGATTTCTTAAGTTATTAAAATATTTCTCAATTCCTTTGAAAAGACAAAGTTTAATGGGAACTCTTACAATATTAAATTCCTCAATTTAAATTCCTTTCAACTCAATTGGTATGCAACCCTAATCTTGTTTCTTCTCAGGACAAACAATAACATAAATTAACAACAAGATCAACAAGACATGATGTAAGCCTAAAACTATCCGGACATAGGCATAGCTAGTAGCTATGCACGGACTCTCCTCACCTCGTGTGTATGTATCCCCCACAAATAGAAGCACATAATAATTTAGTTCACCTATGGGGTTAATTCCCTCTTACAAGGTTAGAAAGAAAACTTATCTTGCTCTGAAGTTCCATAACCGACTTACAAGCCCTTCTGACGACTCAAACTTATGCCCAAAGCTTCAAAACTATCAAATAATTATGCAAACCCATTAACATATGCTCAATTACTCATTATAATTCAATTTATAATAATTCCTAACTCCGATCGAAAAGTTGACAAAATTGCCCTCAGGCCCGCGTGCCCGGATTTCAAAAAATTTCGAAGATAAACCTTGTCCATAACCTCACGAACTCCAATATATAATTTACTCTCAATTTCATGCCCAAATTCGTGCTAAGAATCCAAAAATACAAATTCTAGGTCTTCTACCCAAAACCCACATTTTTACTAACTTTCATGTTAAAATCTATATATAATCAATGTATTTAACTCACAATAAGTGGGGATAACTTACCTTTCCATTGATGATAAAATACCCTCTTGAAACCCTCCAAAAATCGCTCAAGGCAAGAGAAAATAAAAGAAAATGGGTCAAATCCCGTCTTAAAACAACTCACTGCCTTCTTTTGCAAATGCGGAAATGCACATATGTTCGCGAAGCACAACCTGCTTCAGCCCCAAAATCTCCTCTTCGCGTTCGCGGCCCGGTGATCGCATTCGCGAAGGCCAGCCACCCAGACTTTACGCGTTCGCGTTCCAGGCCTCGCGTTCGCGTAGGCCAACGACCTCAGGCCCAGCTCCCCTCTTTCCTTCTACGCGTTCGAGATCGCCCATTCGTGTTAGCGTATTCATCTCAGCCCACCTCTTCACATTCGTGACCTCCATTTCACGTTCGCGAAGGCCAAATACAGTAGGCTCCCACCTTCCTCTTCGTGAATGTGGACCTCCCTTTGCGTCCGCGAAGAAGGAAACCAGAAACAGAAATCTACGGCAAGAACACAGCCCAAAATGATCCGAAACCACCCCGAGACACACCCGAGGCCCCCGTGACCCGTCCAAATCACACAAATCAGTCCCATAACATCCCATAATCTCGTTGAGATCTATTGATTAGATCGCTCTGATACCATGTTGGATTATAAAACTTCGATCAATTTTGATGAGAAACGAGATAAAACTTCTAAAGAGGAAAAAAATATTAGAGGTCATTGAGAAATTTTATTTTCATTAACTGTGTGAAAATGAAGTCACATCTTTAGAGACTAAAAATAAAAAATTATGCAGAAATACCATTAAATATACAAAAGTAATGATAAGTGATTGGATTGTGTCCTCTTAACAGTTTTGGGCCGCATTGGGCCAAATGAGCTGATTCTCTTCTAAAATTCTTAATGCAAACCTAAGCATCCAGCTAATCCAAAGGAGAAAAAAATCAAACAAGGGTATTATGGATTGTCTTGATTCTCTCCCTTTCAGATAAAAGAATTCGATCAAAGTGGACATGATACTTCAAATGTAACGCATTAAGTAAGACAATAAAAATTTGATTTGATTATGATTTATAACTTTGTGTTACTATTTTATTTTAGTGACATGATATATTATTGTACTAACAAAGTTTTTAGTTATATATATATATATATATCAATAGCATGATAATCTTTTTAATAAGACTACAATGAACAAAGCTTACTAATAAGGATAAGGTCCATTATATATATAATTATTTTCAATTATTCTCTTATTTCATCCAATTTTAATATTCATTTATCTAACATTTTATATTATCGTATAAAAATCAAACATATAGACGATAACAAACATTTTAAAGGATGTATCTAGTGGTGACATTTTAAGTATATTACACCTTTCAAAAATCACAAAAAAAATGCTTTAAAATAGTGTTTCTTAGTTGGTCATCTAAAACTTATTATTTCTCATCCTCGATCTCATACACGTATCTCTATACAAATTGAACAAGACCTTATGACCTTTTAACATCTGTTTTTAATTAGATGTCGCTTCTTTCTATAGGTTGTGAAGTCTAATATTTATGATGCTGAGAAAATGCCTTTCCAAAAAAGATAATGCTTATGAAATGATGATTGACATGGTATTTCAATAGCCTGTCTCAGCTAAGTAAATAGTGATTCATCCGAGGAGTTTGGGTTGAAAGCTTATAATTGATTTCACATGCTTTTAACATCTGTATTTTAATTAGATGATGTTGGTGATGAACGAATTCGGTATTTCAATTCAGAATGGCTGCACCACCATTGATGCACATGTTCTTCTGGCTCCACAGGCAATTTCTTGGGCTATGCTTGTTATAGGCATCCATGGATTCATTAAAACTTTAGCTCATGAGATTTTAACATCTTAATTGTTTATGGTATTGTAGCTGAAGTATAATCTTGAATCAGGGAAACAAATACAGGTGTTTCTAGAGGATGGTCACTGGAATATGATCGATAAGGTTCTTTGATAGTCACATAGCTTGGTTGACTATATAGTGATTCATTAGAGGAGTAATATTGTTTTATAGTTTCTGTGTATTATTATTGTTAATGTTGGTACTATTTATCATTTCGTACATGTAAAGTGGGTTTACTCAGAAGCCATAGAGAACACAAACTGAGTTTCATATGCATTTCTTGTCATTTTGTCGAAAGCTGTCATATTGGTTATTAATGTTCTTTACCTTTTTTTAATCAATGACATCATTTTACTGCTAGTATTTAGGTCTCGATCTGTGATTTTTTTTTCTATAAAATGATCAATGGTGGCAGCGTAATGGCCTGGACATGTGCCAGCTTCTCAATGACTAAGTTATTGTCACAACGAGAGGAATTCTGCAGAATACTGATTAGAATGGGTCGACGTTTAGGAATGGTAAGGCAATATGTCATTTTCATAATTTGTATTTGCTTATGCTTATCATATCACAATCTTAGTCTTGTTGTATTTGGTTGTAGAAGTTCAACAATGATCCTTTGGTTCCTATTCGCTCAACTGATGCCGGTCACATAGAGGAAACTCTGGTCGGTATCGTTGAAGAGTCTAGGAACACATTTCTTCAGCTTTTAATTGTGATTCTACTTAAGGATTCAGGATATTATGGTCAGTAATAAAGATTGTTCGAATTACTGATAAGAAATAGAAACATTCATGATATATTGAAGTTACATAGTTGAATGATGATTTCGCTTCAAATGACATCTTTGTCTTTTCGAGCAGGAGCAAAGCTTCAGTCGGAAAATTTTGCTTAATATAGAGTATTTGATTAGTAGCAAAAACGAAATAACTAATAAACAAATTGAAATGACGTTGCTCTTCATAATAAATATTAGTGAGACGTTGCGGGTTCGAACCAAGTGGTTACGTCTATTTTTTTTTAAAGGTTTGAGCATTATTGGATTTTGGGTCTAGGGCCCAAGTGTCAAACAAAAGCAAAGAATTATTGATTTCAATGTCTTTTGGAATGTAGTTATTTCATCAAAATTAAGACCCCAACCAAAAAAATCACTGCAATTTGCAATTTTGGGGATTTTGTGTGTTGCTTGCAACTATTTCTATTGTAAGTTATCTTGCTATCCTTTGTTTTCTTTTTTGGCGACGAAATTGATATAAAAAAACAAATGAATAGTTTTTTTGTGATTATGTTTGGTTCTTACCTACAAAAATAAGTATTAATTACTATTTTCAATTGGAATAGTATAAGTCC